GTTTAGTTTTATTTTGATTTTTGAGATGGAGTCTTGCTCTGTTGCCCAGGCTGGAGTGCAGTGATCTTGGTTCATTGCAACCTCTGCCTCCTGGATTCAAGCAATCCTCCTACCTCAGCCTCCCAAGTAGCTGGAATTACAAGCATGTGCCACCACCCCAAGCTAATTTTTTGTATTTTTAGTAGAGATGGGGTTTCACCATGTTGGCCAGGCTGGAGGCTGGTCTCAGACTCCTGACCTCAAGTGATCCCCGCCTACCTCATCCTTCCAAAGTGCTGGGATTACAGGTATGAGCCACCACACCTGGCTAGCCACTGCATTCAGCGGCACTGATATATTTCTGTTTCCACTAGAGGCTGGGCAAAGTGGCTCGTGCCTGTAATCCCAGTGCTTCGGGAGGCTGCTGCAGGAGGATGGCTTGAGGCCAGGAGTTCGAGACCGGCCTAGGCAACATAGCGAGACCCCATCTATACAAAAATTAAAAAAAAAAAAAAAGTTAACTAGGTATAGTGTCATGTGTCAGTAGTCACAGCTACTCTGGAGGCTGAGGCAGGAAGTTACCTAGAGCCCAGGAGTTTGAAGCTGCAGTGAGCTATGATCACACTACTGCACTCCAGTCTGGGCAAAAGAGCAAAACCCTGTCTCTTAAAAAAAAAGAAAAATATTGAAACTAGAAAGTGTAGGTGATACATTTATGGTGTGGAATGTTCAAAACACTTGGGGCTTCAATCAGCCAAGTCTAAAAAAACAAAAAGTTTTAACCTTATGATAGAAGATTAGTAAAAATAAATATAAATGTATGTGTTTAGGCTGGCGCGGTGGCTCATGCCCATAATCTTAGCACTTTGGGAGGCTGAGGTGGGCAAATCACCTGAGGTTAGGGGTTTGAGACCAGCCTGGCCAACATGATGAAACCCCATCTCTATGAAAAATAAAAAAGTTAACTGGGTGTGGTGGCATACTCCTGTAATCCCAGCTACTTGGGAGGCTGAGGCATGAGAATTACTTGAACCCAGGAGGCAGAGGTTGCGGTGAGCTGAGATTATGCCACTGCACTTTAGCCTGGGTGACAGAGAAAGACTCAAAAAAAAAATTACGTATTTAAGCCACATTGTTTTCTTATGATTCCTACCGTTAGCCAATTTTCAACTACCCGTTTGGATCACTTTGAATAATAAGGTCTCTACTGTATTATTGCCACTATAAAATTGTTTTTTCAATTTTGTTTGGTTTTGGAAAAAAGAAAGCTTGGTTTAATTCTGAAAAATCCATACAAATGGTTACAAATTTTTTATTTATTTTTTTAAACTGCTTATTTTTCACTCTCATGGTATTTCTTCAGTTAAGCAGAGGTACCCAGAGAAACTTTCATCTGAGGTCATCTTAAAAAAAAAAAGGAAAGAAAGATAACCTGGAAACACAAGTTTATGCATTGGTGATTTGCTGATTTCCTTTCCGTACAGTAGAAAACATGTTTCAGTTATTTTTATTACTATTTTAAAAGGATGGAAACATTTAAAAGTGAAATTTTCTCCTGGTGATCATGATGACATTAGGGAGATCACAGAGCTCTTCAGTGCACATTTGGAAAAACCACTGGGAACTGTTCTCTGCTGCCTTTTAGGTTTCATCTCCTCCCATTGCTCCCCACATACCGTGAAGTCCAGACTTAGAAAATTACTTCTAGTTCTTTGAAAATGTCACATACCATCATTTTTTTTTTCAAACAGAGTTTTGCTCTTGTTGCCCAGGCTGAAGTGCATTGGCGCCATCTCGGCTCACTGCAACCTTCACCTCCTGGGTTCAAGGAATTCTCCTGCCTCAGCCTCCCAAGTAGCTGGGATTACAGGCGCCCACCACCATGCCCAGCTAATTTTTGTATTTTTAGTAGAGACGGGTTTTCGCCATGTTGGCCAGGCTGGTCTCGAACTCCTGACGTCAGGTGATCGGCCTGCGTCAGCCTCCTAAAGTGCTGGCATTACAAGCGTGAGCCACCACGCCTGGCCACCATCATATCTTTTTTCATGTTGTTTTTTTCTTCTAAAATACGGGCCCTTAGATCAGGTCCACAGAGGGTACCCTGGAGAGCCTAGAGTTTCAAGATGCATGAACTTTCTGCAATTGTATTTAAATGCATGTTTGTGCGCGTATCTAAGCACTATGAAATAATATGTCATCTCTAGTCCAACTCAAAGGTTGATGTTGGTTAACCTCCTTCTCTTCACATTGCAAAATCCTTTGTAATACACTCCTAATCCAGCTTCTCCTCTTAACAGTCTACAGGTTATCAGGATAGAAAAGGAGATGGTATATACAAATGTGACTTCTATTCTAACTTAAAGGTACTAGTCTTCAGCAGATCAATTATTTATTATCATTTAAAAGCTTCATTCATTGTCAGGGCTTTTGGTGCTAAAGAGTGACTACTTGTGGTGTCCTTCCCAATTTTCAATAACAAAAGGGTTGGAGTTCCAACTTTCATACTTTCAGTATATCCCAAATTTCAGTAACAAAAATAGCAAAGGCTGGAAGTTTGAGACCAGCCTGGGCAACACAGCATGACCCCCATCTCTACAAAAAATTTAAAAATTAGCCAGGAGTGGTGACATGCACACGTAGTGCTTGCTACTTGGGAAGCTGAGACAGGTGGATCGCTTGTGCACAGGAGTTTGAGACTGCAGTGATCTATGATCACACTACTGCACGCTAACCTGGGTGACAGAGCAAGACCCAGTCTTAAAAAAATTGCTGAGGTATTTGCGCAATGAGTACCACCTACGTGCCAGGTACTGTGCTAGGCACAAGAGATTCTACAAGGGTGAAGATGGTTTTTACTTTCAAGAAGCACAGGAAACTATAGACAATTAACAGGGAATTAAATTGCAGTGAACTATGTATTTATATCTAGAACCTAAACCAGGCCTTTGGGGTGATGTGAAGAGGGGGAAACGTGATCGATTTTAGTGGTTATTAGGTTGTCTCACTGATATATTGTGGTCCTCTGTTAAATTAAATTTTCTAAAGGTACCTCGAAATCTGAGCACAGGAAGAAGAGAAATTAGCAGCCCATTTACTTAGCTAACAGGCTTGATGTAGTACTAAGCTTTGGGAACATCACAACAAACGAAAATTGGTTCTTCTTCTCCAGGGCTCAAGTGCTGTATCTGAGGAGGCCCACACCTTTAAACAAGTAGTTAAAATCAAGACAATCCATACTGTGATGGTAGTAGGTATAAAGCATGCAAGCCCCCCTGTATTTGCATAGCCTTATGCTTATATTTTGGGCTTTCTTCTTGATAAGCCTTAGCCTCCTCCGCTATAATGCTTGCTTTGGAGAGGTGACAGTGGGTGTGGGCAGGAGTAAGGAACATAACTGGCCTGTCACAGTAGAGGGAGACAGTTTGGGTTAGGAGTCTAGAATTTATGTGTTCTAATCCTGATTCATACATGTTTAGCTTATTTGTATGGCTTTTGTTTATACTCGTTCTCATGCACGTGCATCTGTTCTGATCCTCTTCTGATGTTCCTACTATTTAAAAAATATATATGTGGCACCATTTACTCTTAGTGTGTCGTCATGTTTTGAAGCAGTATGAATATAGGTATGTGTTTCTCACTTTATTCACAAAGCTTTGAGACAGCCCACAGTGAGATCATCTGCAGTAATGTTAAAATGTAGATACCAGTAACAAATTGGAATACTGGAAGGTTAAAATGAACAAAGATTAAGTTGTAGGTAATGGGTTTTCAGATAAGCATTATAGTATTTCAGTGAAAAGTAGAAAGAAAGTCATAAAGTAGTTTATACCAGTAGCTTATTCATTCCAGCATTCTATATCAGAGAGGCTCTAAGGGACATTTTGTTTACAAACTTCGAAATTTGCCCATCGTGACATTTATGGGGTCTAGCTCTGTACTTATCCTCAAACTAGCAATAATTACAATAAATTTTTGAGTGCTTATTACATACCAGGTTTTGTTTAAAGCACTTTTAATCATCGGAATCAACCTATGAGGCAGGAATTATTTTATAGCTGAGGAAACTGAGGGTCAGAGAAGTTCAGCAACTTCCTGTGGTCTCACACACACTTCTAACAGTATTAGCTACCAGGCAACGGTAAGGATTCAACCCAGACAGGCGTGCTCTCTAACAATACTGTCTCCCTGACTTCCCTAGATGAATGTTTAGGTATGAATAAAGAGGAAATGTCTATATAAAATGGCTGTTTGTGCTTTATTTTTCAAAGAGATCATCTTCAGATAGCAACGAAAATGAAATAAAGTCAAATGAAGAGCCACTTCTAAGAAAGAGTTCTCGCCGGTTTGTCATCTTCCCAATCCAGTATCCCGATATTTGGAAAATGTATAAACAGGCACAGGCTTCCTTCTGGACAGCAGAAGAGGTACGTGGCATTGCCTTCATGAGCATTCATGTCCAATAGTGCAGTGTTCCCTTCTTGTTTTACAGGATATTGAAAAACTTTAACTTATACATTGCTGAAGATCAGTTGTAGAAGTTAAGTTTTGGAATTACTGAGGCTAAATACAACGTTCTCAATGTTTTAGTTTAGATTACTATCTATAAACAAGTTTTCTGCTGCAACAATGGCATCTAATTCTGCCAGATTTTTATTTCCAATATATTTTAGAACCTTTTATTTTCTTTTGAAACAGAATATCGTTCTGTCACCCAGGCTGGAATGCAGTAACACAATCTCAGCTCACTGCAACCTCAGCCTCATGGGTTCAAGGGATTCTCCTGCCTCACCTTCCAAATAGCTGGGACTACGGGTGTGTGCCACCATGCCCTGCTAATTTTTGGTGTTTTTAGTAGAGACACGGTTTCACCATGTTGGCCATGATGGTCTCGATCTCCTGGCCTTGTGATCCACCCACTTCAGCCTTCCAAAGTGCTGGGATTACAGGCGTGAGCCACTGCATCTGGCCCGATTTTAGAACATTTTCTGTTTTTAAACATACTTTTAGTTTAGTATGGCCAACTAAGGCTAGTCTGACTGGTCTTATAAGGTCAGCAGAATAAGTAAAAAATTGCAGCTGTAGTCAAAAAATGAGTGAAAGCTGCAGCAACCCTGCTTTCAATTGAGAGACTTACCTGATTGTAGAAAAGTAGCTGCCACATGAAGAGTTTGATCTTCTTGGCGGTGGAATTCACAGTGCTGCTCCCAATTTGGCCGTGCCCTCAGCTACATCAAATGTGACAGATTTGCCACTAATAGATCAGCTGTAGAATACTTTTTGTTAATTCCACCTAGGAAATCATTTACGGAACACAGCAAACTAGAAAATATTTGCTGGTCGATAAGGACAGTGGTCATGAAAATGATTGCCCTGTAGTCTAACTGAACAAATAGTGCCTTTCTTCATCTTTAAATATGATGGGTAGTACCTTGACAGCACTCTTATTCTCTACAGTATAGAACACTCTCGTTCTGTATCTGTATGTGTTTGTATATGTATCTCTATAGATATATGTAGCTATTTGGATAGATATATTTGAATCTATTTTTCAAGAAATTAATTCTATAAATGTAAACACATGCTAATAATGTAGGCTCTGGGGTCAGACTGCCTAGGTATAAATCCTGTTCCACTACTTACTAGCTGTGGAACTGGGACAGTTGCTTAATCTCTCTGTGTATCCTCATTGGTAAATTAGGCTAATTGTACTTGGCTGTTTGGGTTGTGGGGGATTAATGAGATGTTTAAAATTGTAGTTGGCACTTGGTAAGCACTAAATAAATGTAAATTATTATTTTATATACAGAAAGGGAGAAGATTTAACCTTTCTAGGTTAAATCAGAAGGCACCAATGTTCAAGGCTTCTATTATACTAATTTTACCCACTTACCCATCTTTGTTATATTGGAGTGTTATATTGTCAACATCTTTGTTATATTATAGTTGACATATGGAGCAAAAAACCAACCACACAAAAACACCCGATATTTTCATACTGGGTCATAATGCTTGACACACCTGACTGTCCCTAACTGTCTGTGGTTTTTAGAAAGTTTTTTTGTTAGATATGGTTCAGAGAGCAAGTGGAATACACAGGTGGCTTTTTTATTCATCATGTTAAAAAGGTACTTATGATTCTTAGGATTCTTGAGATTAATTTGGAAATTAACTTGCATCTTTTCGTAAAGGTAATATATGACCTATAACAAAGAAACATTAGTTTTTGAAAACTGAAATTTGGTACATGTTTTGTAGGTAACATAGGAAGATTCAAATACATATTTTGAAGATAAGCCAAACACATTTTTAGTTTTACATATTTTTCATTTAAACAAATTATGTAAGTTACCATTTAATCAGCTTAAATGGTTGAGCTTAATTCTTAAATATGACTGATCAACAGAAACCCTGATAAAAAGACAATAAGTCTGGGGATTGGGACTTTTTTCTTTAAAGCCACTCAGGCAATTATGGTAATTGTCTAGTTTGGAATCAGTATTTAAATGATGAAATTGAGAATTTGCTCAAATAAGAAAAAGCTAGGCATGAAGGGAGTATGACCAATGTAGTATAAATAAAATTTATAAGGCTTTTGAAACCAAGTGTTCAAAGAAATAATTTTAATATTTAAGAGGAAGCATATTACAATATTAACATTTAATATCAAGTATATAATACATAAGAGGCTGGGTATGTTGGCTCATGCCTGTAATCCCAGCACTTTAGATGCCAAGATGGGCAGATCACTTGATGTCAGGAGTTCAAGACCAACCTGGACAACATGGTAAAACCCTGTCTCTACTAAAAATACAAAAATTAGCCAGGCATGGTGGCAGGTGCCTGTAATCCCAGCTACTCAGGACGTTGAGGCAGGAGAATAGCTTGAGCTTAGGTGGTGGAGGCTGCAGTGAGCCAAGATCATGCCACTGTATTCTATCCTGGGCAACAGAGTGAGACTGTCTCAAAAAATAAAAATAAAAAAAGTGGAGGGTTATAATATATAAGAACAAAGAGAGATGTCCTTCAGTTAAACCTGAGTTGAGCTTTTAATAGAACAGAACTTGATTTTTAAGTTGCATGTTTTAAAAGATGAAGACAAATATTTCCCTACCCTGCCCTGTTTTATCCCCAGTGCTTAGCACAGTGTCTGATGTGCAGTAAGTGCTTAGCAAACAAAGAATAAATTAATGGGAAAAAGGGTTTTAGAAAATAACACATGATTAAAAGAATGGGCCATTAGTCTTTTTTGGGGAGGTCAAAGATTGAGGCTTTGTTAGAGTAAATAAAAGAAGGGCAAAAGACAAGGACAATTACATATTTCAAATGTTTACGATGTGAATTATGGAAAATATTTAAAATATTTTTTCTGACCAAATTGAAGTAGGATAGTTTCTCTGATCCCGTCTTGGGCGGAAATTGGAGTATGGTTGCTGGAGCTAGCTGGCTGCTTCAGTGCTGGCAGAGGCAAACTCCACTCACTTGAACTCATTGTGCTCAACCCCTTGAGGGAGGGAGCATGCAGATGAGCAGGGCAGGAGCTTGGGCAAGTGCTTTTGGGCACTGGCAGGAGGAAAACTCCATGCCGGCCCTACCCCATGGCAGCATCCATGGGGAGTACCCACAACCCTTGAAACCCCAGAAGGAACGTGTTATAGTCAACCGTCTTTTAGCTTTTCCTGTCCGAGGATGGCTTAAGTTTTAACAGCTCAGTGTGCCCTCTGTCTTTTCACATGAAGCATTTGCTCTCTACCTGCAAGGACAGAGGGTCAGTGTGACAGCCTTTAGCATCTGCACCTGTGGCATCTAAGCCCTTGTTCAGCATCTAGGAAAAATCAGGTCATGTGAACAAATTGAAGGGTGGTGAATACAGAGGATTTTCTTGCCAATGAAAGTGGCTCTCAGTGGGAAGGGGAGCTGAAAAGGGAATGGAGTGGAAAGATAATCTACCCCTGGAGTTTGGCCATCCCTGGCTGACTCCTCTCCAAAGCAATGCTGTCAAGCTGTTCCTCTGAAGTTAAGTTGCTTCTCTCCGATGTTCAACCATAGTCTCTGACTTCCAGCTGCCTCTCCTCTTCTTCTCTCCTCTTCTCTGCCAGCAGAACCTGGAGTTTTTATGGGCCCAGAGTAGGGGAGAAGCGCCGGCCATGGGTGGTTTTGGAAAAGGCAACATTTGAATGGGAAAATAGGAATGCATGTTCTCACTTTGGGCCGAAGTTCCAGGATTGAGGGTGGAGCCCTAGCTGGGGACCACCGTCTTCTTCCCAGAATTTCCCTGCCTCCTGTCCCTATCAAAATGATATATGCTGTCATTATGTCTATATATGCTGTCTGGTGGCATTTGGAGGGGGGGGCCTTGGGAGGTAATTAGGTCATGTGGGTGGAGCCCTCATGAATAGGATTAGTGCCCTTATAAGAAGAGACATGAGAGATAAGAACCTCTCTCTCTGTCTCTGCTATGTGAGGATACAGCAAGAAGGTGGCCATCTGTAAACCAGGAAGAGGACTTCACCAAGAACCCAACCATGCTGGCATCCTAATCTTGGGCTTCCAGCTTCCAGAAATGTTAAAAATAATAGTAATTAAAAAAAGGATGTTGTTTAAGCAACCCAGTCTATGGTAATTTGTTATAGCCCCCAGAACTGACTAAGACAAGGTACATTTAAAAACTATTTTTGGCTGAATGCAGTGGCTCAGGCCTGTACTCCCAGCACTTTGGGAGACCAAGGCAGGCCGATCACTTGAGCTCACTAGTTTGAAACCAGCCTAGGCAACATGACAAAACCCTGTCACTACCAAAAATACAAAAAATTAGCCAGGCATGGTGCTGTGTGCCTGTGGTTCTACTTGTTCCTTTGGCGGCTGAGGTGGGAGGATTGCTTGAGCCCAGGAGGCAGAGGTTACAGTGAGCTGAGATTGTGCCACTGCACTCCAAACTGGGTGACAGAGTGAAACCCCATCTCAAAAATTAAAAAAAAAAGACAAATTTTAAATTGTACATTTCACCAAATTCTAAAGTACATCTCCCTTGATTCCAAGGACTAATTCTAATGAACATTTTCACATATATTTCCATTCCCAATGGAAGCCATCACTATAAAATGTTTTAAAAAACAGTTTGTTGGCCACTTCTGGTGGCTCAAGCCTGTAATCCCAACACTTTGACAGGCCAAGGTGGGAGGCTTGCTTGAGGCCAGGAGATTGAGACCAGTCTGGGCAACATAGTGAGACCCTGTCTCTTTAAAAACAAAACAAAACAAAACAGAAACAAAACAAAACTCAGGTTGTTACCTGCCTAGCATTACTTCTGGATATAAAAGTAGATTGCCTGGTAGTAAAGTAGCAGCTACAGTTGGTTAATAGGTGCCTAATTATCTATCTAACACCATAGCAAATATTATATAAAATATTAAAGCAATGACTGTTGAGAAGCATTAGTTTATTCACTTCAGTGCCTTCTTGACTAGTTTTTACTCTCCTTCCACCTCTTTTAATCCTTCTTTCATTTGCTCCAGTGCCACTAGATTATGTTAATTTTAATATTTTTAAAGTGCATCCTGGCCAACTTAATTGACCAGAAAATTCAATTCTGTTATAATTTTTTAAAGGTAAGTGTTACTGTGTATGTTTAAGGTGTAGGACATGATGTTATAAGATATATCTATATATATGTAGTAAAATGGTTACCATAGCGTAACAAATTAACATTTCCTTTGCCTCACATAGTTAGCTATTTCCCCCTCCCCCACCAAGAGTAGCTGTAATCTACTCATTTAACAAACATTCTGAATACAATACACTATTATTAACATAATGTTTTTGTTTTATTTCTTTGCAATGCTGACATCTTTCTTTTTCCATAGTTTACTGGTAGTAGCATATTCCTACTTAACTTTACAATGGAAGTTAGTTTCCCAAACACGTTGAGAAGAACTTAACTCCAAATTAAAATTTTTGAATATCTTTTTATTCCAGGTTGACTTATCAAAGGATCTGCCTCACTGGAACAAGCTTAAAGCAGATGAGAAGTATTTCATCTCTCACATTTTAGCCTTTTTTGCAGCCAGTGATGGAATTGTAAATGAAAATTTGGTAAGGTTTTTGTTTGATTTAACTTTTGTTCTCCGTTAGCAGTTAAATGGTGATAATGTCAGTAAGACTATTAAATTGAGCCAGAGAAAAGATGTCTAAAACATGAACTAGATGAAGCTTAACTCTTTAAATATTTTTCTGATGAACTGATTATCCTTTGACCAGCAAACTATTATGAAACCAAGCATAAACATACCATACCAGTCAAATCTACTTACAATGCATTAACATGAGTTTGATTTTTACCCTCAGATGGTAAGCTTAATAGAGAACCTGCACCTTAATAACCTTTATAATAATTATGCTCTGTAATAGAACACTGGGTTCTGGCTCCCCATTTTAGAACTTGATTATGGTTGATCAGGAGGCATAACTTCTTAAAAAGAAAGATAAGAACTTTCATCATGAACTCGAAGAGGCTTTAAGATCCCTCTACTGTCAGGAAAAAAATGACTTTAGATCAGTTCTACAAAGCAAAGCATTATTTTTGGTAGATGTTCTAAAATGTATTTGGCTCTATAGGCAGTATCTCTACCTAACAGGTCAATTTTTTTAATGCTTAGGAATTTAATTTACCATGGAGGATTGATGGATAGGCAGTATTGCCTAGGATGCTGCCTAAAATAATCCACAAGGTCTTTCTGACCTGTTCCTTACATGACAGGCAGTTTTTAAGTGATAATGCTGATGTCCAGATTCTGACTTGCAGTGTTTAACGAGAGCCTATAGAAGTGGATATATCTGTTTCCCTTATCTTCTTAGGTGGAGCGCTTTAGTCAGGAGGTGCAGGTTCCAGAGGCTCGCTGTTTCTATGGCTTTCAAATTCTCATCGAGAATGTTCATTCAGAGATGTACAGTTTGCTAATAGACACTTACATCAGAGATCCCAAGAAAAGGTATTATTGTTGGGATTTTATTTACAAAATATTGCTTATTGCTTGGTTATGTTCAGAGCAGAATTTATTCCAAAACTCAGTGTTAAGGAAAGATTATTCAAGTATGGAAGTTTCTGAGCATAATATTTTCTATTGCTTAATAATGTGTTGGCTTAAAAAAAAAAAACTTGTTATAGAACCAGTTAACCTTTAGATATTTTATCTTTAAGAACTGTTCAGTAGCATCTTCTGTTTAGGAATTGAATATTCAAATTTAGCTGGTTTTGTGTGAGACCAAATCTAAATCAATAATTTGAATTTTATTTCTGTTTTATGGCAAGAAAATAAATGTAAATAAAAAATTAAAAATGTAGAAAAACTACAGATCTGGTAACATACCATAGAGTTACAATTATTATCTCTGATTAAACTATTACAGTGTAGTCCAATTGAGAAAAACAAGTGAATAACTCTGCTATTCATTCTTTTGTTTTTATAGGGAATTTTTATTTAATGCCATTGAAACCATGCCATATGTTAAGAAAAAAGCAGATTGGGCCTTGCGATGGATAGCAGATAGAAAATCTACTTTTGGTATGTGGCTCTAATTTATGTATGATCAGATTTGCCTCAGGTGATAGGACAGTATTTTATGTGGTGTGACTATCCAGTACTAATCAAAAAGTTACAGCATGGAAAAGGAGTACAAATGTCTCAAATGCACCTTTATCAAAATCATTATTCCTAATGATTAATTAGAAACTGGTGGTAAAAATAAAGCTGTTATCTATTCTACTTAATAAGTTGCAAGTTGAAAAGTCAAGATGTTCGCACATAATGACAGTTAAATAGGAGTCAGTCACATAGAATCTAACAAGATAATATTATAGCAATCCACAGTTTATATCTGTTTTTAAGTTTATTTCAGGATTTTTTTTTTTTTTTTGAGACAGAGGCTCACTCTGCTACCCAGGCTGGAGTGCAGTGACATGATCTTTGCTCACTGCAACTGCTGTCTCCCAGGTTCGAGCAATTCTCCCTGCCTCAGTCTCCTAAGTAGCTGGGATTATAGGTGCCTGCCACCAAGCCCAGCTAGTTTTTGTATTTTTTAGTAGAGATGGGGATTTCGCCATGTCGGACAGGCTGGTCTTGAACTCCTGATCTCAGGTGGTCCACCTGCCTTGGCCTCCCAAAGTGCTGGGATTACAGGTGTGAGCCACCTCATCTGGCCTATTTTAGGAATTTAAAGCAAATGAAATCTTAACATTTTCAGGAAACAATCTAGTTTCTCAAAAAGATTAGTGTGGTCAACCAGGACAAAAAACAATTTGTAATAACAGTCTTATTTTTCATAGGTAAGCTAAATGCAAACACCCTTCTGGTGAGTTGAGATCCTGTATCATTTTTTAAGGAAGTATCTTGTATTATGTCTTATACATAGTAGTTGCTCAGTAAATATTTACTAAATCTAATTAAAATATTTATATATCATTTGGATAGTTCTAAGTACCCATTTCATTCTTATCTATTTTTAATTGGTGTTCTTTATTTTCTGGTTTTATTTGTTATGTTGGGAAGCAAGTCTCAAAATTTTTGGTCTCAGGCCCCTTTGTGCTCTTAAAAATTATTGAGAGCTCCAGAGTGCCTTTATTTGGGTAGGTTATAGCTATTGATATTTCTGCATTAGCAATTAACATTGAGAAAATTTTAAAATATTTATTAGTACATTCTAAGATAGCAGTAAGTAACCCATTACATTTTAATACAGATAACATTTTTCTATAAGTTTCTATATTTTCCAAAAAAAGAGTAGCACCTTCCTTTATATTTCTATAAATCTTTTAAAGTCTGACTTAATAGAAAACAGTTGGAGTACCATATCTGCCTTTGCATTCAATTTGTTGCAGTGTGTGTGTGTGTGTGTGTGTGTGTGTATATATATATATATATATATATAATATGCCTCATTTAAATATGTGTTATAGTTAGAAAAGGGAGGAATATTTTGTTAAGCTTTTCAAATTATTATGGATATGTCATGTAGCCTCTAGAAAATAACATTGTAAAGTATGAGAGACTGTTAATTAAAACATGTGAATAATCCCTTAATGCTATTATGAAAATAGTTTTGACCTCACAGATCTCCTGGGTCTGTGGCTCTCTCAGGGACTCCTGGACTACACCCAAGAACCAGTGATGTAGTCTGTATATCGGCCAGCATGTAGTATATCAGGGATGAAACAGATGTGTTTGCCTCCTTGCCTTCAGTTTATTTCAAGAATGAGAAAAGCAGCCAGTCTCAGTGGCTCGTGCCTGTAATCCCAGTGCTTTGGGAGGCTGAGGCAGGATGATCACTTGAGGCCAGCAGTTTAAGACCAGTCTGGGTAACAAAGCAAGACCCCAATCTCTACAACAAATTTAAAAACTAGCCAGGTGTGGTGGTGTGCACCTGTAGACCCTGTTACTTGGGAGGCTGAGGGAGGAGGACCACTTAAGCCCAGCAGTTTGAGGCTGCAGTGAGCTGTGATCCACTGTGCTCTAGCCTGGGTGACAGAGCAAGACCCAGACTCTAAAAAAATTTTCTTTAAAAAGAGGAAGGAGGAAAGCACTGGTTATCAATATATATAAAATTCAACTGGAGAATTTGTGGAAAAACTCTTAAGTAACCTGCCAAAGGTAATGTGGGAGACCCAGGTGGGACTGAGGAATCTGCATTTTGTATTCAGCTGATTCCCTCACAAGGAGCTTCAGAAACACTTTGGGAAATGCTGGCTTTAGAGAAAAAAGAAGGGAAAAGGCAGAGTGTTCCATATACACTGAAAATATTAGTATGGATAGATAGTGTTGGAAAATGATGAGCAGGCCCACGGAAAGCATGTATTTCATGAACTACCCAAGAAAGACAACCTAGAAATAGAGAAACTGGGGAAGGAAGGCTGGCAGTCACCACGTAACTACATGAGGATACCAGCTAGATTATCCGTATTGCTTAATCTCAAGGCAAACCCCATTTGGGGTTCTAATTTAGGGTCTCAGAGGAAAGAACATGTTCCAAAATTGTGGAGGGGGAGTTGAATGGGTGGAGAGTGGAACAGAGAAAGGGAAAAGAGTGAATAGTGCATTGGTGGCTCTCCTTTTTGGGAGTGGAGCTAAAAGACAATAACCTGAAAATACATATTGCCTTGTTTTGCTGCACACTGCTACTTTACTTTAACCAGCTGAGGACGTGCTGTTTTATGAACTGATTGGGCCACCTGCACCGTTGGTAGCTATAAGTTGACAAGGGCAGCTCTTTCATCTGGCTCAGGGTTTTGCCTAACATTTTTGGTGACCTTAGTGCTTTTTGCGCTAAGATCCAGCATAGCAACTATTTTTTCCTTATATCCAGACTCTTACAAGCCTTTATTTTGAGCTAAAAAGAAACTAAGAATATTTTTTAAAACATCGTTAGTTTGTCTGAAAGTTTACATTATAAGGAGATTGAATTCCTATAGAGCTAAAATTTTCCTAATTATATATCTGCATAGTTTTTTTTAAAATTGAGATATCCTCTTTAATTTTTTTTTTTTTTTAAACAGAGTCTTGCTCTGTCCCCCAGACTTGAGTACAGTGGTACAGTCTCAGGTCACTGCAACTTCCACCTCCCAGGTTCAAGTGATTCTCCTGCCTTAGCCTCCTGAGTAGCTGGCATTGTAGGCCTCCTCCACCATGCCTGGCTAATTTCTGTATTTTTAGTAGAGATGGAGTTTTTCTATCTTGGTCAAGCTGGTCTTGAACTCTTGACCTCATGATCCACCCACCTTGGCCTCCCAAAGTGCTGGGATTATGGGCGTGAGCCACTGCACCTGACCCATCCTGTTTAATTTTTAAAATCTCTTTAAATAACTTTAAAACATATGTAGATTAAATCTTAATATATGTAATGAAATTTCATTTCAAGCCCAAAGAAGTATTAGTCACACAGTCTTAGTACATTGCCATCATAGAGGTCAGCTGTATCTTAAAAATATATCCTACTTTCCCCCTCTGAAATGAATCTTAAGGCCTTTACATTCACTGTAGTTTTTAGAAAAAATGTTCTGGAAGCCTCTTTTTACTTCACTTATGTTCTCAAAAAAATTGTAAAATGTACCATTTATAATCCTTTAATCTCCAAAAAGGAGTAGCCTTCTATAACTATGTTACTATTTTCATTCTTTAGTATTCACATGAATGTATAGAATGGTTGCAATACCAATTTTCCACTAGGCATAGTGATTTGCACCTGTAATCCCAGCTTCTTGTGAGGCTGAGATGAGAGGATGGCTTGAGCCAGGAGTTCAAACCAGCCAGGGCAACGTAGAGAGACCTTAGCTCTAAAAAAGTAAAAAAATTAGTCAGGCATGGTGATACACGCCTATAGTCCCAGCTATGTCAGAGGCTGAGGTGGGAGCATTGTTTGAGTTTGAGACTGTTTGAACCATTAGTGTACCACTGCACTGCAGCCCGGGTGACAAGAGTAAGACTGTCTCTAATAAAAATGTAAATATCAATTTTTCTTTTATTCACATATTTGTGTTTGTATTTAATTATAGTCTACTTCCCTTACAGATAATTGTCCATGTGATGTTACCTTAATGCCAATGAAAAATGTATCAATAACTATCAGTTATCCTAATAGTAAGATAAAAGATACAGTAAGTTTTATGTTAAATTAATGACAAATCTCTATCTTAAGAATAGTGATGATGATGACAACGACAGTTTTTGAGATAGGGGCTCCTCTGTCGCCAGGTGGAGTGCAGTGGTGTGATCATAGTGCACTGCAGCCTTGACCTCCTGAGCTCAAGCATTCCTCCCACATCAGCCTCCCGGGTAGCTGTGACTACAGGTGTGCACCACCACACCCAGCTAATTTTTAAATTTTTTGTAGAGAAAGGGGTTTTGCTATGTTGCCCAGGCTGGTCTCTAACTCCTGCATTCAAGTGATCCCCCTACCTCGGCCTACCAAAGTGCTGGTATTACAGATGTGTGCCACTGTGCGCTTGGCCTAGAATGGATTTTAATGTCTTCTGTCATCTGGTACTTACATAGGTTCCATTAAGTCAGTTTAGGACTCGTTTATTGACTTCTTTGTGTTTGGTCTTGTGACATGTACTGAGATATAAACTGTGATGTCACCTATAAAAAAGGTTGTAATGCACTCAAGCACTCAGCTGCCTTTATGTCACAGTTTTATAGACCAAACCTTTTTCCTTAGACATACATAATACTTTTCTCAAGCATATGCAGTGTGGTGACATAAGCACCTTGTGAATGACCTTTTGGGTTAGACCTCTTATCATCCTGGTAATGTTACAGATAGGATGCCACTGTAGACAATTTATTAATAGGAGATGGACCTCTACAAAGTCCTTGCCGAACCCTTAAAATTGGCCCTTTTATATTTAGCAGAAAACAGTATTTTTGCTTATGTTATGGGGACTTTTTATCTAACAGATATATTTATTATCCTCACTTGGGTTTATCTTTTTTTTAATTGCAAATGCATGCCAATGGTTTTTGAAATGTCTACAGATAGTCTCTAAGATACCACAGGTTTCTAAAAATAATAAACTTAAGCAACCTCTCCTCCTTTCAGAGGAGGACATTTGTCATAAAGTCTACCATCTATTCTCCAGTCCAGTATACACACACATATGTATACATACTGCACACATATGCATGTACCTGCACTCACAGTCATGTGTGGTGCACATGTAAATCACCTCTTGTTTTGAGTATGGAAGGCCATTCTTTGTCCAGACAACAAGACCTATAGAAGTTCATTGTCTGACAGAGGATTTGAAGGAGGCATACCTTTCTGCTCCAGTAGGTGGAGGTGGCACATTTTCTCCTATGGAGATCTTTGGCTGTGGTACTAACTTGTGTATTTTGTTTCTTTGCAAAACAGTTGTGGTGTTTATTGTTTATATATATATATATATATATATATATATATATATATATACATATATATATATATACACACATATATATATATATATATATATATATATATATATATATATGTGCCAATGTTTGCAGTGTGTGATATTTCAAAAACTGAAACTATTTTATGTCTCCCAGGGGAAAGAGTGGTGGCCTTCGCTGCTGTAGAAGGAGTTTTCTTCTCAGGATCTTTTGCTGCTATATTCTGGCTAAAGAAGAGAGGTCTTATGCCAGGACTCACGTTTTCCAATGAACTCATCAGCAGAGATGAAGTAAGGAATGGAATGTTTTTCTGGTTATATTTGCATTCATATTTGATGTTCATCTATTTTTCTTTCCTTTCTTTCTTTTTATTTGAGACAGGATCTCACTGTGTCACCCAGGCTGGAGTACAGAGAGTACATGGCTCACTGCCACCTTGAGTTCCCTGGGCTCAAGCACTCCTCCCCTCAGCCTCCTGTGTTGCTGGGACTACCGGCATACTACACTATAACTGGCCTAATTTTTTTTTTTTGAGACGGAGTCTATCTAGCTCTGTTGCCCAGGCTGGAGTGCAGTGGCGTGATTTTGGCTCACTGCAACCTCCAACTTTTGGCTCAAGCAATTCTCCTGCCTCAGCCTCATGAGTAGCTGGAACTACAGATGTGTGCCACCACACCTGGCTAAATTTTTGTATTTTTAGTAGAGATGGAGTTTCACCATGTTAGCCAGGATGGGCTCAATCTCCTAACCTCATGATCTTCCTGCCTTGGCCTCCCAAAGTGCTGGGATTACAGGTGTGAGCCACTGTACCTGGCCTACCTGGACTAATTTTTGTTTTTTTTTTTTTTTGTTTTTTAGACATGAGGTTTCACCATGTTGCCTAGGCTGGTCCTGAGCTACTGGGCTTAAGTGATTTGCCTGCCTCAGCCTCCCAAAGTGCAGGGATTACAGACATGAACCACTGTGCCCCTCCCATTTATTTTTCTTTCTCCTGAAAAATGCTGTGGTGACACACGTATTGTGGTAATTAAAATAGGTAGTCACACCTTCTTGCTTTTAAGACACTGCATTTTCCTCTGATGCCTCTTAACATTTTTCCTCAGTCTCCTGGTCATTCTTAATATCAGTATCCTCCTAGGTTCCCACTCTGGCATGTACATGCCCTCCTGACTGATCTTATTTACTCCCATGGAATCAGCTACCATCTAAATGCTCATAACTCCCAAAACTTTCCCTTTGTCCCAGATATTCTTTCCTAAGTCCCAAACCAATGTATGCTAGTACATGTTAGACATTTTCCCCTTGAAGTTCCCCCAGGTATCTCAAACCTTTTCTTTCAGAAATCAAACTCAACATCTTTCTCCAAAAATTTGTTATTCCTTCTGTTTTCCCTGTTTCACTGAGTGTCTTTACGCTTCTTTCCAGTTAACTAATTTGAAATCTAGGAGTCATTTTAGATTGCTTCTTTTCTTTTTCAGCCACATGCAGTCAGCAACTAAACCTGGTCTCCCTCTGCCTCCTATACCTTTTCCATGTTTCTTACCACCTTTTTTTTTTTTAAGTTTTTTTGGATTACATTCTCAGAAGAGACATCCCAGAACTTCCCTGATCAATTAGATGAAAGTGTCCACTCTTTCCTTTATGTATCCATTTGAAACCTGAACCTGTCTGTGTCTTAGAGTCCACAGCCTGTATTGTACTTCTTATTTCTTTCCTCTGCTAGACCTTAAGCTCCTTAGTGCAGGTACCTTGTCTTATTTATCTTTCTATTCTTAGTGTTTTTGGCTATTTTAGCCATTCAGTTTACATTTATTGCCTGTGCTAATCCTTAACTTCTCTGAACCTTTGTTTCTATAACTATATAATTTAACCATTTTGTTAGAATGCAATAAAATAGTGTATATGAAAGTATTTTTTAAATGCCATAAAAGCTTCATATAATTACTTTTTGCTTTGTCATGTCTTTAAATTTCTAATAACTTTTATTAGAAATGTCATATAGGATTATTATAGAGAATTGAGAGAATAAAAAATTAATCTCAACACACAGAACCACATTTACTGTTTTGTTAAAATCTTTCTTTCTAGATTTTTTTCTATATTCTATTTAGATACATAAACATTTTAATCATTTAGGTTTTTAGGAGTTGAGATGTTCTTTTTCCACTTGGCAAAATACTGCAATCGTTTTTCTATGACATTAGAATCTTTTGAAAATAATAAGTTTTGTTAAATATATGATATTCTAATGAATGAATCATTTATTTGACAACCCTGTCTCACTGTAGCTTCGACCTCCTGGGCTCAAGCAGTCCTCCTACCTCAACCTCCTAAGTAGCTGAACTACATGTGTTTAATTAACCACCACATCTGGCTAATTTTAAAAAAAAGTTTTTTGTAGACACAGGGTCTCACTGTGTTGCTCAGGCTGGTCTGGAACTCCTGGGCCCAAGTGATTTGCCCACTTTGGCCTCCCAAAGTGCTAGGATTACAGGCATGATCCCCCGTGCCCAGCCTTCCAGATTAACTTTTGAATTAAAAACAATTCCATTTAGGCACTTGACCTCTATGCCCACTTGGGACTCTTCCAAGCGTACTTTCCCTTCTTTTCTCCTCTAAAGCCTTTTAAAATAAATTACACACACACACACACACACTCATTCATTCTCTCCTTCCCCCCCACACCCCCTCTTTCTGTCTCTCTCTCTCCCCCCGCCTAGGGATTTTGATTGGTATTGCTTTCTGTAATAGATTGTCTGTCACTTTTAATCAACACGTTAACAGCTTTCAGCCTTGATGGTAATTTCTTCTTTCTTCCTTTTTTCAGCCTTGATGGTAATTTCTTCTTTCTTCCTTTTTTTTTTTTTTTTTTTTATTTCTTCTTTCTTCCTTTTTTTTTTTTTTTTTTTTTTAAAAATTTTTTTTTTTTTTTTTTTGAAGCAGAGTCTCACTGTCACCCAGGCTAGAGTCCAGTGGCGTGATCTCTGCTCACTGCAGCCTTG